TTTCCTGCAACCCAAAGATTTTGAAGCATCGTGTTTTCATTTTCACTTGTCTCCATTTACTTTTTATTTCTTCTTTGATTTTTTGGTTGCCCCATTCATTGTTTCATGTTATTTAACTTCAATATAGTTGTGTTCTTCCCAGATTTTTTCTTGTGGTTGATTTCTAGTTTTATATAGGATTGGGTCAGAAAAGATGCATAGTATGACTTTAATCTTTTTTAATCTGTTGAGACTTGTTTTGTGACCCAGAGTATAATCCAGTCTGTTCCATGTGCACTTGAAAAGAGTGTGTATTCTGCTGTTTTAGGATGGAAGGTTTTGATTGTGTCCATTAAATCCATCTGGCCCAATGTGTCGTCATTCAAAGCTCCTATTTTCTTGTTGATTTTGTTTGGGTGATCTATTCATACTGGTGAGGTGTTAAATTTCCCTATTATTATTGTATTACTATCAATTACTTCCTTTATTTTTGTTATTAGCTACTTTATGTACTTGAGTGCTCTCAGGTTGGGGTTATAAATATTTACACTTGTTATATATTTTTGTTGGATTGTTTCCTTTATGATTAGGTTATCACCTTCCTTGTCTCTTGTTATAATCTTTGTTTTAAAATCTATTTTGTCTGATATAAATATTGCTAGCCCACTTTTCTTTTCACTTCTATTTGCATGATAAATGCTTTTCCCACCCCTTCATTTTAGATCTGCATGTGTCTTAGGCCTGAAATGAGTCTCTCATAGGCAGCATCTAGATAGGTGGGTCTTGCTTTTTTATCCATTCCATCATCCTATGTCTTTTGACTGGAACATTTAGTTCATTAACATGCAAAATAATTATTAATAAGTATGTACAGGCCACCATTTTGTTACTTGTTTTACTGTTCCTTTTGTAGTTCTTCCCTGTTCCAGCATTTACTCTCCTCTCTCGGTTTGCTGGTTTTCTTCAGTGATCTACTTGGATTCCTTTCTCTTTATTTTTTGCATATCTATTACTGGATTTTGATTTGCGGTTACCATTATGTTTATATATATAACATTTCATACACATAGTTGTATATATGAAGCTGATGGTCACTTAAGTTTGAACCATTCTAAAAGCGCTGAACTTTTACTCCTCTTCCCCCAGTATATGGTGTCATACTCCTCATCCTTTTATTTTGTGGATCCCTTGATGGATTTTTATACATATACTCAATTTTCCTGCTTTTGTGCTTCCTAATCTTATTAGTCCTGCTTATAGTCTTTCCTTTCCACTCAGAGCCCCTTTTAACATTTCTGGTAAGGCTGGTTTAGTGGTGATGAATTCCTTCAACTGTTATTTGTCTGAGAAACTTCTCCTTCTATTCTGAATGATAGCCTTGCTGGATAGAGTATTCTTGGTTGCGGTTTTTCTTTTCAGCACTTCCCTTCCGGCCTGCAAATTTTCTGCTGAAATATCAGCTGATAGCCTTATGGGGTTTCCCTTATCTGTAACTTTTTTCTTGTTGGTTTTAAAATTCTCTTTATCACTATTTTTTGCCATTTTATTTTATTCTTAATTTTTTTTAATGTTTATTTATTTTTGAGAGAAACAGAGACAGAATGTAAGCAGAGGAGGGGCAGAGAGGGAGACAAAGAATCTGAAGCAGGCTCCAGGCTCCGAGCTGTCAGCACAGAGCCTGAGGTGGGGCTTGAACTCAAAAGCTGTGAGATTATGACCTGAGCTGAAGTTGGATGCTTAACCGACTGAGCCATCCAGGCGCCCCATTGCCATTTTAATTACTATGTGTTTTGGACCTCCTTGGGTTGATTTTGTTGGGGGCATTCTATGCCTCTAAGATCTAGATTTCTGTTTCCTTCCCCAGATTTGGGGAATTTATAACTATTATTTCCTAAAATAAATTTTCTGCCCTCTTTTTCTTTCTTCTGGAATTCCTATAATGGGAAAGTTACTACACTTAATTGTATTATTGAGTTTCCTTAATCTCTTCAGTTTTTATTTATTTTTTTTCTCTCTCCTGTTCAGCTTGACAGCTTTCTATTACTCTGTCCTCTAGGTTGTGGATCCATTCTTGTTTTCTCTAGTAGTATTTACTGAGTATTTCATCTCTGATGGGTTCTTTTTTATGCTCTTTATTGAGGTTCTCACTGATGTCGTCCACTCTTTACTCCAGCCCAGAGAATATCATTGTGACTATTACTTTAAATTCTTTATCAGGCATATTACTTATATCCATTTCATTCAGCTCTCTTGCTGTGATTTTTTTCTTGTTCCCTTACTGGGGACATACTTCTCTGTCTTCTCATTTTGCCTAACTCTGAGTCTGTTTCTGTGTGTTAGGAAAGTCAGCTATGTCTCCTGCTCTTGGAAGTAGTGGACTTACAAAGCAGAGGTCTTGGAGTGCCCTGCTGTACAACGTTCCCGGTTTACCTGAACCTGGCTGCTCAGGGTTGTCTCCTGTGTGTTGCATGCACCCTACTATTGTGGCTGAGTTGCATTTGCCTTTAGTCCAGTCATCTGCAGTGGCCCTCTGCCTATTGTGGCAGGGTTTGATTCCTGTGTTAGTGGGCCAGTATGGGACCGCCTTGGGCTTGAGTAGGGTCAGACCAGGCATTTGCCACAGCTGCAGCAGCACAGAACTGCAGGGTGCTTCCCCTGAGTTTTCATTTTTGGGAGAGGTCTGCAGTCCACTGCTGGGACCACAGGGTGTGTGTGGTGGTTATCTTCTCTCTCTGAGCAGGAGTCTCTTTGGGGTGGTGCTGACCCATCAAGGCTGCTTGCACACTGCCAAGCTTGTGGCACCTCTTTGGATGGACTCCTCCCAAGGGTGTTTTGGAGGAAGCAAGTCCATAGAATGCAGGGGTTGGGGCATGCCATATTGGATAGCCAAGGTCACTTCTGGCCAAGAGCACTCCCAGTGTGCTAGAAGTATAATTTTCTGTGTGCCATGAAGCATGTGTGTGTGGGGAAGGCTAGAAATCTACATTGTTTGGACATGATATGGGGTACATCTGATAGATTTCAAAAATAATCCCAATTCTTTGCCCACCCCATATCCAGGTCCTCTGTCATGTAACTTTGCAGGGTCCACTCTAACTCTGGGATAAGCTATGTGATTTGCTTTGGCCAATATGATATGAGAAAATGTGATACAAGCAGAGGTTTGATATATACCAGTGCAGTTGATCTTGGCTGCCACATTCTGACACACAGCCATAATGCATGCCTGGGTTAGTCTGCTGGAGGAAAAGACAGGTGGAACAGAATCTCAAGGTGGATGGGGCTGGCAATGGATCCAACACAAGTGACCTCTCTTGGAACATGGCTTGCCTGCTTTTAAACCCAAAATACTTATTCAAAGCAGAGTCATGGGGTTGGCTCTTTCTTTCCCATGGCAGAAACTTAGGAAAGAAGGCAACATACAATCTTAACTCTCCTATTTCCTTTGAGGCACTAAGGGATATTCTCCTCTTTGACATACACATTAAAGATTCAAAAAAAATACATTTTTATGAACGAAAAGAGTTCTCACAGGTGTTATCTATCCTTTTGAGAAACACAAATCCTGTTGTAAATTGCCCAGGTGTTGGAATTTAACTGCATCTTTCTCTTATGAGAAAGGGGAAACATATTACATATATAATGAGTGTCAGGGGGTTTTCAGACCCATAAAGAGGGATTTAACTTCAAGCTTTTTATAAACATTAATATATACTATTCTAACATAAAAACACAACTGAGTTATTCCCCTAATGAAGGACATTTACATTTCTCCAAATTTTTTATTAGAAGCATCACTACAATGCATATATTCTTAGATTTATTGCTCTGGGTACAAGTTGAGTATTTTCCAGGATTTCTGGGATTATGGAAAATGCACTGTTTATGTGAATACATACTTACCAACTGTCCTCTAGTACCCACTGACACTTCTACCAACAGTGTAGGAGAGTTCTCATTTTCCCCTACCTGGGTCAATATATCACCTTCTAAAACTTTACATTTTTTTACCAATTTCCCTGATTACCTGGGAGACTGAGCATCTTTTTAAAAGTAAATTAGCTGTTAATATCTTTTGTCTCCTTCCCTATTGTGCAGTTGCTTTTTATTATGAATAATAGTGTTTTGACTTTCTAGATTATTCTAGATTTTAACCCTCCTCTATTATGCATTGATAAGTATCCTCTCAGTCTGTTTTACCACTGTTACAGAATCAGGTCATAAGGAAATTTTACATTTTATAATAAATCCATTAATCTTCTCTCATATTTTTGTTTTCTGGGTCTGAAATTATACATATTTAAGTAAATAAAAAATGTGTGCCTATTTACTGATCCAATGATATACCTACCACCTTTGTTTACCACTTCATAATATATCCTGATATCTGATTGGTTACCTTTTATCTTTGTTGTTTTTGCTCATTATTCTTTCATACTAATTTAAGAGGGGCTTACTTTTCATTTGTTTATTACTCCAACATTCTATTATTAGGCATAATTTTTACCAGCTTCTTCAATGGAAGAAGAGCAAATGTGATGGAAACATGGGCTTGATAAGCTCTTGTATATCAGTCTTGCCCTCTTGCAAGGTCTTCTCTATCACAGGAATAAGATGAGTGTAGCTTACTGGAGCCATGTAGAACAGACCCAGGCACATCAATCAGTGAATCACAAGTTTTCAAATGGTCTTGTTTTAAATCACTGAGTTTTGAGGTGGCTTGTTGTACAGCAATGGATAAGAGCTACACTTTACGGAACCTCATCATCTCTCTTTGTCTATGTCTGTGTAAGAGAAAATGAATAAAAATTTAATAAATGAAAAAAATTTTTGAAAAGAAAAACAAATCTTAGTCTCTCAGCAAACTCTTAACAGTGCTGGACCTGGTGAACATCTGTTGTATTTACCCCTCTACCTCAGCTTTTCAGTCCACTTAAATAAGTATTTATAAGAATCAATAGTTTAACTGTTATCCTAAGTTCTATAGGTACAGAAGGAAGAAACTATATCAATGAACAGAGTACGTGATAAATATTTTTATTTTTAAACACTGAATTGTACATCTTTCATATAAAAGATGAAATTCCAGACTTTTAAAAAAAATCATTCTAATACTTTACATTTTTTTACAGAAGTGAATTTTCTCTAAGTTTGCAGCTTCATTCCATTAGCTTTTATAGAATCATAATCTCTTGAATATATTTCCAATTTCCTTTAAAAATAAAACAATCCATAGAAGATAATTTATTTAACATAGTAAAACTTAATAGGCTACAGTATAACTACTAAGCTTCCTGGCTACCACTGACTACTTTTCCCAGTACAGAGAAGCCAACATGTTGGGGTGATCAGTTCTCTGTATTTACTTTTATTAAAAAGAGGTTTTTGGTAGTGAGAACAAATAATCTCTCATTTGTTGCTTGAAAGCCTAAAATAGGATCATTGGTTTCTAGGCTTGCTACTTGCTGCTTAGCAACCTGCCCTACTTGCCGGCCTTCCTTTCTGTTGTAAAGTACAGTGGACATGGGCGTGGGCTGGCGGTAGATGAACACTCGACGAAGGCACTCGCACAGGGCTGCATACGAGTAGTTTGGAGCACAGGCAAAAAATTTTTTGTCTCTCTTTGATGCTTGGACGTAGCCTGTCATGAAATAGAAAAACAGAAAAAAAAAAAAAAACCCATATATTAAAAAGAATATGTGATTACACATTTGGTATTTCCCAGTTTTTATTATATATTAAAAATGCCTTGATAAAATATACACCATAAATATTCAACAGTGTGTGAATTCTGAACCATTAGTGATTACCCACAATCAGTTTCTCCTGACTGGTGCAAAAATAGAGCTTTAATTCCTAAGGAACAAAACAGGTAGGGTTTTATCTCTTTAAGAAAACCACAATATAGTTCCTTATTTCCATGAATAATTAGGACGCTAAAAATCTAAAAAATCAAAAGGACTGAAATGCCCCATGTCTTTAACATGTCAAACTATCTTTAAATGCCAATAATTAGGCTCATCAATCACAGATGTGGCATTACAGACTCTTTATCAAATAAATGGAAAAATATTTATAAGATACCACTGTAAAGTTATTTCAGTAGTATGTTCATAATATAGCCCCCGAGCCTAAAAATGCTAATGTGACAATGCAGTCTCTTATTACTTCTATAATGTTAGTTACATTTTTATACACCGATTCCAACAGTGTCACAGGATTTTGTTGGTACTTCAGCTCCCAGAAGTAGAGCCTTGAGATCACTACAAGCTGGAATGAAAATTTAAGTCTCTAATTTTAAAAACTTAATTAGAACATCCCTTGAAAACTTTTCTAAAATCTTAATCTTGTCTTTTAAAAAATTATCTTTACAGGTTAAAAGGGCATTTATGTTCTGAAATATAAATTAGGATTTTCAAACTGGGACATGGTTACTGAATGTTATAGCATGTGAGATAAAAACAGAACAGTAATGTAAACTGACCTCATCAAATAATGAACAAAGAAAGATCAATATTGGTTTTATCATTAAACAGGTTTGAGAGGAAAAAGTGAAGAGGATGTAGATACCTATCTGAGTATGTTAGAATTAACTTTCCAGGCTAACCTTGAAAATTAATAATGTATACAATATCTCAAGACTACATATGGAATTTAATGTTGATTTAACTTAAACTGTAGTAGAATTCTTCCATGATAACAGATTAACGGATACAAATGGAGAATCTAAGCATATAAAATTATGTGATAGAGATTACCTTACTGAAAAAAGGAGATTCAGAATTAAAAAATTATACAGAGGGCAAAAATTATATGTTTATATTTTTCAATAAAACTCTGTATTTCAGATCATAAAAATCCATTTGGAGTCTGAACCAGTTTAGCAGTCTACATTATTAACTATAAGTGATAACTAACAAATCTTTATAATTAAGGTTGTATTCAGAATATATAATTTTACTTCCTGTTCCCAGTTTAAAATAATCACTCAATAAAGCAGTAACTATGCCCAATTTATATAAAAAAATTTCTCCCACACAATACTAATATACTAACATAAAATCAATTACTGCATACATCTATAATTATGTATCTTAAAACTTTTCAAGCCCTAGTTTTAAAATCATTTTCCCTTTTATCCTACAGGATAAATTTGATTTCTGCTTACCACCATTTTCCCTAAGTGTTTTCATTACAATGGCTCTCTTTTGCACATAAGTTCCGTGAAAGAAGTCTCTTAATGTGCATTTCCTTAGAGCAAGTCTATGAGGTTTTTGCTCTGAAGAAACCTGAATACAAGTCCCACATAGGGTAGTGTCAACCGGGCTGTTCATAGTCTAATACCATACAGCTTACTTGGAATAAACAAATAACTGATTAGAAGAATTAGATAACCACTTTGATTTCTATTCTATGCTGATCTTTTGTACAAGCATAAAAATAGATTAGTCTTACTGTTCCAAAAGTACTAACATTCATCAACTATAGTAAAAGCAGCCAAAGATAGCACAAATCAATCCAAAGGTAATTAGGACAGCTCATATTAAAAAAAAAAAAAAAGAAAGAAAAAAGAAACGAACTAAAAAAAATGATGACCATAATTTTTGATATAATGGAAAATGTTGTCAAAGAGCTTGCTTTATACCTAAAGCATTGAAAGTTGCAATGTGCTCCCACATATCATCCTGTTTGCTAGAGTGTGGCTGCCAGAGCAGGGCATCAACATCATGGCGTAAGCAGAAGCAGGGCATTTCTTTAGGATCCACTATGACTGAGAAAAGGTACTGGTTGCTTCCAAGATTCACCTAAAATAGTGACAAAGGATAATTTATTCAGCAAATTAATAATGATAATGATGATGCCAATAACTGACACACAGTTATGTCAGCAAGTTTGCTAAACTTTTTATACAGGCAAGTTGATTACCTCCTGAGAAATGTGCTACTGTCATATCCATTTTAAAGTTCAGGAAAGTTACTTGCCCAAAGCCAGCCTGGTAATAAGTCATGGAGCTGAGATTGAACCCGGCACCTATGTTCTTAACCCCTTCACTGTAATATATTCATCAACTAGTTAGTAACCTAGTTTAAAACATGATACAAAACATTTATAGGCAGAACATTTTTTAAACCACAGAATTACAAATAGGAAGTTTACATATGGTGACCTGTAATAATAATTACCAAGAACAATTATAGCTACTAAGATTTATGAGCATGTCCTATATGCCAGGCATGTTATAAATATTAATTTCAACAACCACAAGGTTGTCATTATCTGCACTTAATAGATAAAGACCATGGAGAGTCTGAGAACTTGTTCTAGGCTACAAAGAAAAACCACAAGTCTGGGATTCAAACTCAAATCTGTTTACAAATTATTTAAGCAGATGTAATATTTAATTATAGTATCAATGTCAAGAATGTTTATTATGTTAATTTTATTGCAATATTCATGACTAAAGGGATTCATTTTTTTGAATTTTTTTTTTTTTCTGAGAGAGTGAGAGAGAGAGAGAGACAGCATGAGCAGGGGAGGGTCAGAAAGAGAGAGGGAGACACAGAATCCAAAAGAGGCTCCAGGCTCCAAGCTAGCTGTCAGCACAGAGCCCAATGTGGGACTCGAACCCACTAACTATGACATCATCACCTGAGCCGAAGTCAGACACTTAACTCACTGAGCCACCCAGGAGCCCCATAAAGGAATTCATTTTTAATACAAAACCATCAGGTTGAGACTCATATTTGGAGTGCCTAAATACAACACCAACAAAATCACATCAAATGCAGAAAACATAAAATACTCATAGTACCTGATAAATACTGAATTGCTTTCATGAGTTTCAGAGCAGACTGGAGAATGAAAATGTTGGTTTTCAATGAGAGAGACCTGACCTGTACTCAACAGGGAAAACGGTGTGGCTTTCCAGCAAGGGGATTTAGTGGTACAGCTGAGCAAGCAGGCAGAGGCTCCTGTCACAGGAGAATTCTGTGACAGAGCAACCCAATTTCTGTTGCCCCAGCAATGCCTGAGGATAGAACTTTTGTTTGTCTTCTTCAGAAGGGGAAGAGGACGGCAGAGCGTGTTCAAAAACTATATGTGTCTCTATGTAAATACATACAAGGATGTTTACTTCATCTCTGTTTATATAACAGTGAAACACTTAAAATAAAACAGGTACATTTTTCTTGGAAAAGAAAAAGGCCCTCTTAATCTGATTTAAATGTTTCTTCTCTTCCACTCTCACTTATGTGGGGCTCTAACTCATGAAACTATGAGATCCTGACCTGAGCTGAATTCAAGAGGTGGATCCTCAATCAACTGAGCCATCTGGGCATCCCAAAAGCCCATTAAAAAAAAAATTTTTTTTTTTACTTTATTTATTTTGAGACAGAGAGAATGAGCGGGGGAGGAGGGGAGAGAGGGAGAGAGAGAGAGAGAGAGAGAGAGAGAGAGACCAAGAGAATCCCAAACAGGCTCAGCTCTGTCAGCACGGAGCCTGACATGGGGCTTGAACCCGTGAACCATGAGATCATGACCTGAGACAAAGCCAAGAATCACATGCTTAACCAGCTGAGCCACCCAGGCGCCCTCTGCCCTAAAAAGTCCATTTTATAGTAATTATTATTTATTTTTAATTGAAACAGAGTTGACATATAATACAACAGTTTTAGGTATATGACCTAGTGATCCAATAATCGCATACACATTACATAATGCTCACCATGATAGGTATAGTTACAAAAGTCACCATCCAAAGTTCTTACAATATGATTGACTATATTCTTCCCTATGCTGTACTCTTGAGCTCTGTGACCTTTTTATAACTTCAAGTATGGACTTAACTTTCTTCATCTATTTTGTCTGTCTCCTAACCGCCATCCCCTCTGGCAATCACCAGTTCTCTGTATTTAGGAATCTGTTGTTGTCTGTTCATTTGTTTTGTTTTTAGAGGTTCCACATATAAATGAGATGATTTGTCTTATTTCACTTAGCATAATGGCATCAAAGTGCATCCATGTTGTCACAAATGGCAAGATTTCCTTCCTTTTTATGGATAAAGTATATTCTGTTGTATGTATATACACTTTTTGTTAAATCCGTTAATCAATGGACATATATTGTTCCCCTGTATTGGCTCTTGGCTATCATAAATAATGTTACCATGAGCATGGGGGTTAGTGCTTTGTTTGTGTGTTTATTTTCTTTGAATAAATACCCAGAAGTGGAATAACTGGATTTCTAATCTTTTGAGGAATCTCCATTCTTGCATTTTGCATAATGGTTGCACCAATGTATATTTCCACAAAGACTGCACAAGTATTCCCTTTTCTGCACATCCTCACCAACACTTGTTACTTTTTGGCCATTCTTTTTTCAATAAAAACTTTTTTTAAATGCTTTTTATTTTATTTCTGAGAGAGAGAGAGAGAGAGACAGACAGACAGACAGACAGCATGAGCAGGGAAGGGTCAGAGAGAGAGGGAGATACAGAATCTGAAACAGGCTCCAGGCTCTGAGCTGGCTGTCAGCACAGATTCCGACACGGGGCTCAAACCCACGAGCTGTGAGATCATGACCTGAGCCGAAGTCGGATGCTTAACCGACTGAGCCACCCAGGCGCCCCATTTTTTGGTCATTCTCACTGGTTACTAGCTGTTTTCACTGGAGTGAGAGGATGATTCCCTATGGTTTTGTTTGCATAGGGCTCTGTGCTGGCAGCATGGAGCCTGCTTGGGATTCTCTTCCTCTTGCGGTCCCTCCCCCACTCATGCTCTATCTCAAAATAAATCAATAAACTTAAAAATAATAAAATGGGTTTTAAGAGAGCATGCAGTGGTGGTGATTAAAAATGTGGGTTTGGAAGCATATCTGAACTGAAATCCCAGTTGCCATTTATTAGCTTCCTAACTTAAATCTCTTAACCTCTTAAATTTGAGCTTCCTCTTCTATAAAATGGGATCAAATTTCTAATTCTTAAGTAGTGAAGATTAAATAAGGTAGTTGTAAAATAATAGAAAATATGTATATAATTGTTCTCTGCCTCCAGGTCCTAGCATAGAGTTCCTGAAACTCTTATAATTTCCAGAGTGATAATGCTAGGAGCATCTTTTTTTGTAATACCTGATCTTTGATCCAGGTTCCTAACACAGAGCTCCTAATCCCTTGGTATTTGACTCTAAGTTATAGGAGTGTCTTTTGTTCTGAGATGACTCTTGGTGGGCTCCTGGATGGCTTCAGGATAGACGTTGTTCACCAGAAAGACGCCATGATTAGAAGCTTGGAACTTTCAGCTCCACCTCCTATCCTTTAGGACAGGGAGACTAGATACTGAGTTAATGACTGATCATGCCTATGTGATGAAACCTTCATAAAAGTCCCAAAAGTACAGGGTTTATACAGCTTCTGAGTTGCTGAATACATGGGTGTACTAGGAAGATGGCAAGTCTGGTGAGGGAATGGAGGTTTTGTGCACCTTCCTCTATAGTTTGCATTATGCATCTCTTCCATCTAGATGTTCATTATATCCTTTATTGTATTTTTTATAATAAATTAGTCAATGTGCATTTTGTTAACTGTCTTAGCAAATTATGGAACCCAAGGAAAGGGTTGTTGGAACCCTGATTTATGGCCCATCAGAAGTACAGACGAACCTGGGATTTGTAATTAGCATCTGAAGTGGGAGTTTAGGGGAGAGTTTTATGGATCTGAGGCCTTAGCTTGTGGGATCTGACACTACCTCCAAGTAGGTTGTGTCAGAACTGAACTGAATTGTAGGACATCCTACTAGTGTCAGAAAACTACTTGATGTGTGGAAAACCCACACATCTGGTATCAGAAATGTTCTGAACGTGGCAGTGTTGTGAGAGTAAAGGAAAAATACAGGGAATATTTTTCCTTATACAGTTGTAGATACAGATCAATCCAATACTCAGTGCATAGTAAGAACAGTGTAAATTTTAGCAATTTATTCTATGTAGAGAGTGCTTGAATTTGGAATTCAATAATAGATTCTGGAATTAAAGTTTCATGTCACTAACTTTTCATTCTGGCCTCCTATAAACAGTTTGTTTCTGAACAGACAGAACCTTTCTCTTGATACTCATTTTTAATTTAATTTGGTAATAGCAGTTATTAGAAGTTCTTTAAATGTCTTTACTTTGACATTTAATCTTCAAAAGTCTTTAACTGGTAAGTGTTCTATAAAGAAAAAGGAAGTGTCAACTGACTACTTGAAATACATTTCAAAATTTTCTCTAGAGAATATTTTACTCTGTAGTTTTCATTAGTACTTCAAAGATAAATACAATCTTTTCTTTAATAAACATGAAAATAAAAGGAATGTGGATATTTTATTGGCCAGTTTATGGATTTACGATTTTTTAAGGCAAGAAATTTGGCATTAGCAAAGAATGAGTTTTCCAAAGGAGTACATTGTCTAGTATAAGGGAATTCTTATTTAAGTGCTAAAACCAGATTTCAAGGCTTTAATGGAATCTTACTAAAATTTGTTATTTGCCCAACATCTTATATAGAGCATCAGAAGAGAGAGAAACATGTTATTGATGGTTGAATGTCATCAGGGTAAACGTTAATTACCATGCTGTATATGTTTCCAATAATACCCTTAGAGGCATCTGAAGTGAGTAGAACCCTTTAATACTACACCAGGTAATTGCAGCTTTCTCCATTTTAAAAATGTATTTTCTGGTTATGTGTGGTTTGTTTTTGTTCTTTCCACTGCTAATAAGCTACTGGGTGCTACTTCTTTTGTCAGTGTTTGCCCAAAGCAGCTATCCTTCCC